ATGGCAGAACAGACTCTATATTATGATTTCACACAAACAAAAAAATATTTCTTATACAGTGAGTGTTTCTGAGGTACATGTTATTAAGAATAGGCAACTCTCCTCACCTGCAAATAAGCCGCACAAGGCCACAAGGGACACTCAAAGGCCTTAGGCACGTGTTTTCAGAATAAAGACTTCTTTATTCTTGTTCCTTTTCTTTTTTTAAACTAGGAAAAGAATTTAGTTCATGGTTTGTGAAAAAAGTTTACCCCATAACATTCTTTTAAGATTATTTCAAAATCTGTGACCCACATCACTGTAGCTTCAGCATTAAGTTGATGACCAGGAACCTGTGTGTCACCAGACCTTGCTATACAGATATTGTCTTGGACATTTATTGTGATATGAGAGTGAAAACGTCCAGGATTAATGCTTGGTAATATGTAAATTCACTACGTTTTTAAAAATTACACAACCATATTGAGAAACAGCAGCTTTCCAGAAACAATCTTCTTTCACAGCCTAATAACTTTTTTTTTTTAATTAACCTGCAAATACTGGCACTACTACGGGAATTAGCTAGAAGCCAAGCTCAGATAAAAGGCTAAAATATTTTAAAAAATCAGTATCATAAACGACAGAACTGCGTGGTTAGTAATAAAACAGGGGTATTCAATTTCCTTATTGTACAGGAGGGAAACTGGGTTCAAAGAAATGCATTAAGTCAGAATAGTAACTAGGATGAATCCCAGTCTCCTGTCAGCCCATGTCAATATGCCAAAGCAGTAACAGCAAAAACTTTGGTCATCTTAGACAATGAACAATGTCATTTAAGTCCACTGGAACACAAGTCTGTAAGGCTAAGAATTTTATTTCTCTTGTATGCCTTTATAGTCTAGGGCCTAACACAAGGTCTGCCACATAGCAGATACTTTGTAAATATATTGAATAATCAAAAAACAACCCCCATCTGCCATTTAGTAAAGACCCAAAATATGTATCAAGGCAGTCTCTTATGTGTAGTGTTTGTAAAAATCCAATGAGAAGCATCAGCACAAGAATAGAGGTAAGTTCAAAATACTGATCTTTGCCTGGAAGAAATTTAACCCACAACTCCTGGTTCTGATTCTAGTTATTAGCTCATCCAGCCAAATTCCCTACTGTGAGAGCAAAGAAGGGACTTTCCAAAATTAGGGGTTAAAAGAATTTTCACAGTATTCAGAGGAAATCTACATTCACCAACCTCCTATTTAATCTCATACCCATGTCCCATATCCCTCCATATTTTCTGTAAACAATTATCCCTTCCCTTCAATCCCTGATGGTAGGAAAGGCACACAAATAACACATGAAGATAATCATACAAAAAAAGCTAATGGGACAAAAATATTTAATGCTAGCAGCAAAGGAAAGGCATTCTAACTCACTAAATCAATGAGCAATGAAAAACATCAGTATCCCTCACAGCCAGTCACTGCCTTGATAACAAGCAGCAGGATTCAAATCCAATCACAGTCACATCAGCTGTGGCAACAATAAGAGCCGGTGGATATTACATACAAACAAGACACCACCCCAAGATGGCAACAAAGATCCCAGTGAATCTGAGTGAAGGTCACATCTAGAACCCAGGCCCTCAGGGTAGAGCAACAAACCTTATCAACTCAGGAAACTTCCAGGCAGCAGAGACATGCATTTTTATCCTTACAAGCTATAGACATTTTGATCCATGCACTCCAGTACAACAAACAGACCCAAGTCAGCAAAGCGAAAGCAGAAAGCAACTACAAGCTCTGTATTAGTGGTTAGTCAAGACTGAATAAAAAGTTAACAAGATGCTAGGAAATTTTACTTATCTTCAAATCTACTTGCAACCATCTTATCTGTTAAGTACCTTTCATATTCAGCAAAATAACAGCCAGAAATCTGTACAATGAGTTTTTCAATCTCAAAATCTATTTTCCTACCCATATACAAGCTTTTGTTGGAGACAGTTCCTATAATTAGTAATTATTTTATTAACTTATTAATTCATAATTATTTTAATATGGAAAACAGTTCTTTACATAAAGGGGCTAGGTTTCTCTGCTCTCTAGTCTCTCTAGAAAGTAATGATTTACAAGTAAACAGTTTAAATATATTAAGGTAGCCTGGAATTGTGGTTCTCTATACTTACTATAACACAAATCTTCATTTTAAAAAACTCATCCTGGATGAAATTATTTTGGTAAGTTTTGATGTTAGTATAATACTATCGTGTCTTTTATAGGACAAGACACTTGTATTTTGGCCAGATATTTATTCCTTGTATCATATGATACGATGGAAGAGAAAGAGCATGTTCATGGAGGAAGAAAATAACTATCAATTCAATATTAAAGATCTTTTCTTTCATTTAACAAATCAAAATGCAAAACTGCAAGTAGAAATTAAAGCAGCTGAATGTGATCTTTACCATAGAGCCTTGAGAACTACTAAAATTGAAGATGTGAAGACTGGGTCAAATTCAGTTTCCAAAAGATTTTCCAAAATTTGAAATGGGTTCTTTATATTCGAGGGTACAGGAAGAAGGCTAGAACCACAAAATAAAACATGGTCTTTAAAAGCCACAATATGAGAGTCACAAAGAGAAGGGTCACCTCTCACTTAAAAGAATACCTGTTGATAAGTACTGACAAAATTTGACTCCCCAATATACAACATGCAGCAGTGACCAGTAACATCAGATGTTTGAAACCTAGTTACAAATTATCAAATTAACTGTTCAGTCAGCCCAATAAGGAGTACAGCTTAGCAATTAAGTATATGTGTTCGCAAGGCAGACAGCTATTGACTTTAGGCAAATTATCTAACTTCTCTGTGACTCAGTTTTCCCACTGGCACAAAGGACCCACCTAGGGTTGCCATGTGGATTAAATAAGTAAACCACAAGCAAGGTATGTTTTCCTACCATCATTAATTACTGTCATCCTCACCCACATTTTTATTTTCCCATTTTTTTTCCCTAACAGGAAGAGAAACCAGGCCCTAACACCAAGCAATAGTAATAAGGAGGGTGAGTTGGGTTGAAATGATCTAGCAAGCCCATTTCCTACATTGTGATATAATGCTGATCATACCTGAGGGCACAAAAAAGCAGAAAGGCTTACACCTTACAGTTCTCTCTCCATTGAGAACTCAAGAGGTGGTTAAAAAAAAACTGAAATCTTGAGAACTGAGAGGTGGGGCCTCCCTGGTGGCTTAGGGGTTAAAGACATGGCACTATCAAGCTACTGCCAGCCACTGCAACATGGCCAGGGAGCCTGCTGGCAAGGTACAGCAGGCCTCTTCTGTCGCACCCCACTGCTCCCCTCAGCAGTGTATTTCAGTACATCTCCCTGTTCTGCTCCACACTCTGTCTGGTGACTCCTCTTACCCTCCCCCCTCCCCCACCCCACTGCACCTCTGGCCTACACCCCAGTTCTTCCAGGCATAAATAAATAAATCTTCAAAAAATAAAAAGTTAAAAAAAAAAAAAAGAACTGAGAGGCAATTTTTAAGGACAACAGAAGATTAGAAAATTCACTGGGATTTTCAACAAATAATATGTCAATAAGCTTTTTTAAACTCTTAAAAGAAACTCTTTGTTTTCTGGTCTCCCAATACATTTTTACTGGAAAGCAAGGTGGTCATTCTTTACTCAGAAAGAAAGTACCAGTTCTGAGTGCTTGAAAGCAACCTTCAGGATCAACACCTCAGTGATCACAACAGGGACCAATTAAATACAGCTATCTTTCAGCTTGCTGAGAGGCAAACACATCTACTATCACCTCCTCTCTGAAGCCTTCTCTGATAAACCAGCTGGATCTACTTGTGTCTAAAATGCTCGCCTCTGTTTATTCAGAATTCTGTTGGCAAGTTTACTCCAGAGGATTATAAATTCTGTTTCTGTATTTCACTGCCCTATTAAACTGAAACTTGCCTAGAAGAAGCATATATCCATCTTCTTTTGTTTTGTGCATTTGCTGAATGAATGTCACAGGCGTGGGTTTTAGTCAACTCATAGGGTTAATGTGTACACTGTGTTAAAATTGTTGAAACCTAAATGAAAGGAAGGAGGGACCACTAAGAATATTAATCAGACCATTCTTTAATAAACTGGAGGCAAACAGTCTGAAAGAAAAGACAAAAAAAAAAAAAAAAAACCACCAGTCTCTGAATAATGGAATGTTAAATAAAACACACTGGAATAAAAAATAAGGTATACACTACTGTGTCAACACACAAAAACAGATATTCAGCAGAACCACATTACCCATTTCTCTCTACAAATAAATCAAAGGGATCTAATCCAATTTCAAGAAAGGATATATAAATGATAACTGACAAAATCCTGCCCAAACGGAATCTTACATGTCAGGTAAAATGCTATATAGGGACTCAGATGGTTACATAAAGAGAAAAGAAAGTGAAATCATAACCTGTCTTGCCAGCAAACCTCTCACAAAAGAGCAATCATTACCTCCATCACCCGTACTAACCCCCGGCCTCACTTCTCTGAAAGCCTTCTCGCCGACAGGGTTACTTCTGGCCAATTATGCCCCTAACCCACTGAAATGTAAGCTTCCTGAGAGCAGGTTCTTTATTTTCTCCATAAAAACACTCTTAGCACTTAATGTCAGGCTCCATCGCAGAGGCTGAATAAGCGTTAGTTGAATAAATGAATGATAGGAAGAGAAGAGAGGAAGTAGCAAAGGAGGGAGTGAAAATCTGGAGAGGTCAAGTCATTCTTTTGGGGGAAAGTTTTACTGCCTTTGTACACACTTCAAGGTACTGTGACAATTCAATTTTCCTGTGATTTTGATGTTTATAATGAACAGAATATTTTTTAATTTACCTAGAGCAAATACTGACTTTTGAAGCAAAGACTTAGATATATCTCCACTCACTCATTCAGCAGGTATTTTACATGCCCACCATGCTCTAGGCACTCACCAATGTGACAAGTCATAAAAGGATTTTGTGACCCTCACCATCAGTATCACAAGGAGACTACTCTGTTTCCTGATCAAAACTAGTAGTAACTAGCAAGTCAGCCCAGCGTTAAGGCGCCATTCTTCAAGATGAAATAGGAAAAGGTGACAAAAGCATAAAGAGATGACAAAAGGTACAATGAAGAAAGGTAAGACGAACAACTAGAGAACAAGGCTGATTTCATTAGATGCTTCAAATACACAAAGGGCTTTTGTGAGATAATCCTGAGCATATCCATGCCTCTCCTTTCTTTCTGAGTGAGTCCTGTGTTTAGGCATTTCCTTCTATTGATTTCAGAGATGCCTTGCTCAAGTCAGAAGTGAATGCCAATATTTTTCTTGCTGATATGTAAGCAAGGGCTTAGCATTCCTAAAACACACAAATACTGGTTTCCTCCTTCCTAGGCTTTAGTGGGCTGTCTATAGGCATTTCTTTCCCACCCTATAATTTCTTCTCTGCCTTTGTTAAAACTGTAAGCACATCTGCAAAAGACTAAATATGACACTATAAAAAAACTGTCACTTCCTTCTCCCCCATACTTGGATTCCTGACTTCAGAAACCAGACCACTTCACGCATTTTACACATAATTTCTAAGGGGTCAGTGGTCACCTCACTACCTATAGCTTCCAGACACATACACACAATGCCAATGTTCCTTAGCTTTGCTCTGTGACCTCTGGGGAGAAAGCAGTGGGTGGCTACACACTATCCCAAATGTGAGCTCAGTTTGCAAGTCTGGGTTAAATCATAAAGGTGTGTGGCACTCAGGGACAATCATTAGCAGGGACAATCATTAAGCTTTGTTGCATCTTTCCACCTTTTGTAGCATCTTTCCATCTCTTCACCTTTACCTTTTCCTTCCCCAAAATAGATCATGCAACTCCCACTGCAAGATACCCAGTTAACTATTTCTTGATTCCACATTCCCAGAGTGTTCAGCCACGTAAAAGGCAATGTTCCAGATTCATTCTCAGGCATTCATTTTTCATAAATAAAAAGATTATTAGTAATAATAATCAAGAAAGATTGATAGAGAATACATGGGGGCACAATTATCAAGTGTTTCCCATGGTTTTCATCATAATGTAGCCCTTTGTGTCACTCCAAGTATCCATGGGAACCAACAGTAACATCAAACTCAAACTCAAGCAGAAAAAAAAAAAAAAGATGGATTAAATTGGCAGTTCTTCTGTTTATTAAGCTCAATAACACAATTCTTATGGCAAAGGAAATAATTTATTGGTGAGATTTTTTTAAGAGATGTGTTTCTCTATCTCTTCTCCAATCTCCATGCTTAATAAAGATGATGAGTTTTTGGTGGGGGGAATTGTTGTTTTAATTAAAGACTATGCACAGGAGAGAGTTTGAAAATAAAATAACCCCATGATACCACCATCCTTTGTGCCATCTCAGCCTCAGGCACTTGTTTTGCATACCACCTCTACTATATTATTTCTAATCTAAGAACTAAAAGAAAGATTGCTTCTATAAAATGGGGCTGGCATTGTTTTCTATAAACAAGCCTATAGTCTTGTTTTCTATAAACCTACAGAATCAAAGTGGTCTGCTCCAAAATTCAACTCAGCCAGGCCTCCCCCAAACCACTTGATGAGAGACCTTGTCAAGTCATTTAACCTCGCTATGTCTCTAATCCCTCAGCTAAACAATTAATTGTGTTCCCTCATCTCAGGGGAATGCTGAAAGAGGTCACTATTAATAGTCTGTGCAGTTATTTGCTAATGCAAAACCTCTACAGGAGGACTGTGTTCTCAGGGCCAAGGGTGGTGCAGTGGGAAGAGAGTGTGCTTGGAGTTTGATGGAATAGGGTTTAAATCCTAACCCTACAACTTACCAGCTGCCCAGGAACCTCACACAAGATAATTATCCTCTAAACCTTAGGTTCTTTATTTGTAAATAGCAAAAAATTTCACCTTCCCCTCACTGCTGTTGTGAGAATCAGGTGAGCTAATATATGTAGAGTACTTAAAGTTCCTGGCACAAAACAGGCACTCAAATGCCAGTTCCCTTTACATGTACAAAAGTTCTTGCAACTTCTCCTTGACACCCTCACTGGCAATGTCCTAGATAAGCCCCACATGACCTCCCACCTGAAACAGTTCAGCAGTCAACTAGGTTCCTACATCCAGTCTCATCACCATCTACATCATTCACCATTCATCTCGCCAAGAGCAAGTGTGACCTCTGAAAATGCTTACCATCCTCCAATAAATCCCTGCATCCTACTGAGTTAAAATCAAAAGCTTCATAGAAATAAAAACGACTTTTCATTAACTGGCACTAGTTGACATTAACCCCACCTTCACACTGTCTTTTGGTAAACTCTATACTCATCAAAATCTCCTGAGACCTCTATATACTTGTGACATTGTCCCCACTTTTCTATACGAGAGAAAGATATCTTCTGCACAGTGTTGAGGTTTGCAGGAGAGAAATGGAGGGAAGTACTTGGCGATCTGATTTTTTGTGGCTTCCTCTTCCAGTTTAGTCACCTGTCAAGTTGCCAGGGTAGGAAAAGGAGAAAAAGTTCATTCTGTGCACTACCACTTAGTAGGCAGCAATAAGCAGGATAGTACCAGCTCTGACTTCCTCAAGGTCACTGAGAAAGGATGTCGTGGTTGGGAAAAGAACATGCTGTTGTGAGCTGCAGATCAACAGCAGAAACCAACCTGTTGCATATAAAGGTCTGTATTCCAGCAATGTTCACACCAGCTTAATTACAATTCCCCGTGCCTGAGCTATGGGTCTGAGAGTCTGAGTTCAGGGAGACTGCCAGCTCTCCCAGAAATCCTGGGAATGTAGCTGTTTTGCCTTCTGGATATAAGACCCTCCAACTGCTAAGTGGATAGCTCTTCCTTGAATTAGAGAGTATTCCTGAACCTTTAACATTTGACAGAACACCAACACTGGATGTTTTAGCGTTCTGGATAGGCACTATTGCCAACTCACAAAGATGAAAACACTACTGCCACACAATTTTGGAGCACTCTGCCATTGAGAAGGATCTTCATAAACAACACTCACACAGCATTCCAAGATGTTGGCATCTCCATTTTATAGATAAGGAAACAACTTTAAGGAAGAGTCTGATTCCCTAGATCCACAAACCCTTGGAAGTTCAGAATGCTCCAGTCAGTGGGATGCTAAGGAGCACATAAAGACCAGGTAAATAGGAACAATTTCAAACTCACTGCCACAAGGTAGGCAACTTTTTATGTTCAGCATGTCCAAAGGCACCCCAGACTAAAAAAAAAAAAAAAAAAAAAAACAAAAAAACACAGATTATCCTTGTAAAAAAGTAGAAGGAAACTTTCCTTTAAGCCCTTCTTGTGTGCCAGGCATGGAGCATCACTTGTCATTTTATGTGATCACATCACACTGAATTTTTCCAAATGTGAGGCAGCTATTGCCATCCCCTTTTATAATATTAAAAATGGAGAGTCCGAGAGACTCAGTTACTTTTCCACTATCACCTGTGGAGGCAGTATCTAAACTCCAGATACTTCTAACCTCCATGCCTCTTTCTATGCAACACACAATCTTTGATCAGGAAACATGACTTCCTTTGAGAAAGGTATGCTGGGCATACAAATTACAAGTCACTATTACCTAAAACACAAATGGCAGTCATAATTTTATCCCCACAGCTCCCTGCAAATCCAAAATACTCAGCTTTACTTCCAATCTCCTCTCTGCTTCTCCATCAATGACTCCTTAGAAATTCATATTAGGGTCTCCCTGGTGACGCAGGGGTTAAAGACACTGAGCCATCAAGCTACTGCCAGCCACTGCAGCACCCAGTTTGATCCCTGGCCAGGAAGCTAACCCACATGGCTCAGCAGACTTCTCCTGTCTCACCCACTGCTCCCCTCAGCAGTGTATTTCAGTAGATCCACCTGTTCTGCTCTCCACTCTGTCTCGAGTGAATCCTCTTACCCCACGCCTCTGGCTTATACCCCAGTTCTTGTATGCATAAATATTTTTTTAAAACAAAGAAATTCATATTGGGGCCTCCCTGGTAGCCCAAGGGTTAAGTCTCAGCACTATCAAGCTATCACCAGCCACTGCCTCAATAATTCCGTTAAATCCCCAGCCAGAGAGCTGACCCACATGTAGCAACAGAACTCTCCTGTCTTGCCTGCTGCTCCCCTCAGCAGTGTATTTCAGTAGATCCACCTGCTCTGCTCCCCACTCTGTCTTGAGTGAATTCTTTCACCCCCCGCACCTCTGGCTTACATCCCAGTTCTTGTATGTGTAAATGAATAAAATCTTTAAAAAAGAGAGAAATTCATACCATTCCTTATCTCTTTCCCATTGTTGAAGAATGCTTTCCTCTAAAAGTCATATTTTTCCATAAGTGACCTAAAGCACTGGAGAGCATGAGAACGCTTATGAAAATGACAATTTCCCATCCTCTCAATGATTAATTTACTATAGTCACCCACAAGTGTCACATTTTCAAAAAACCATTTTTTAACCCAACAATTATCCTGATCAAAATAAGTCTCACACAAGATTCTGACCTTAAATACTGAGTGTAAGAGGCATTGATTAAAAGCCTTAAACTTATCCTTTTATTGGCAAACACATTCAGGGGCAGTTATTCATGGCATCTGGTTCAGAAATTAGATACAGAGTTAGCTGTAGATTGATTAGTGCTTAGTACAGAGAAGAAAAAGACTAATTCCTGTATTATTCCTGGCTCAGCAAGCAAAAGCCTTGGCTTGGATCCATGACAAGGGGCCCCGGGGAGACTCCAAGCCCCATCTGTACAAGAGGAAACCTGGGCAAGGCAAAGCTGTGTTCTGACAAGTCGTATTTCCTCCCACTGGGAGCCTGAACACCTCTGCTGAGAGCCAGGGCCCACCACAGCTGGCTCATTCTTCTCAGCAGTCCGAACACCCAGCCTGGCTAGAAAATAGCACTCCAAGGAGCCAATTCCAGATCAGTTCACCTCAACAGAAATGTGCCTTCCTCAACATATGGGCACTGAGAATCTCAGTAGGAGGGATTTGGGCATACAATAAAGGAAGGTGCAGAGGTGATGAAGCAAATCAGCACCTGAGATGCTCATACTTACAAAAATATTTAACTTCTAGTGAGTACTGTGTGCTGGGCACTGTTACAAGAACTTTTGATAGATTAACATTTAATTCTTGCAACTCCCCTAAAGTATTATTATAACCACCATCATAAAATAAGATCTCTGAGACAGACAAAGTAAGGGCCAAGGTCATATTCAGTGACTAAGTGGTGGAGATTGGGTTAGAGGAGGTTCAAACCTAGGAAGTCTGGGTTTCTGGCTCCTGAACATAATCCTGTACACCTTCATAATGGTATCTGGCCATAAGTGGCAGATGGAATAAACTGAAAAAGCACTGTGTTATATTTATTTCAAAGTAGTTGAACAAGTTTATATGCTTAAAAAATTTCCTGCCAGTTTAACCACTAGGAAATGAAGGCCTGACATTCAAATTAACAATTCATCTTTTCACCGACTCTTCTTTCCTAGAAGAAAGCTCCTCCCTTCCATCATACGGTATAATGCATTGAACAAAATCCAAAAGGCACAGAGAATATAAAGAAAGAGAAGTCTCTTTTTCCACCTCTCCTCCTCAGAGGCAACCATTATTAGCAACAGACCACCAATAAACAAATAAATAAATGAGCAAAGTATCTAGGAGATAACACTGGAAGTCATTTAACAAATAGACAGGACACAACCTGCAAGACCCAGAATGGAAGCTGAGCTCAGGCTGACCAGACCTCCCATATTTTGGGTGGCCAAGGAGGCCATTATCAGCCACTGCCCCTCACCAACGTGCACTTTAGACAATTTATGAACAGTCAGGGAAGTGACTTTTCTAGTCAATAACAATTGGTCAAGTGATCATTTTAACTTGCCCACCCACCCAAAAAAAAAAATGCTTCACATGCACTGGAGAATTACTTTCACTGTTCTAGTAATTTTTAGTTCATAAAAACCCTCAAAAAATGGGCCTCCCCGGTGGTGCAGCTGTTGCGCGCTGGGTTGCAAAGCTGCCCGCAGTCTCTGCAGTGCCGGTTCAATCCCCGGTCACTGGGTGAGGGTTCCACATGGCACACAGACCTCTCCTGCCGCCCGCTGTTCCCCTCAGCAGTGTGTTTCGTCAGTCTGTATGTTCTGCTCCCTGCTCTGGCTCTGGTGAATTCTCTCACCCTCCCATGCTTCTGACTGTACCCAGTGCTTGTATAAATAAATAAATAAATAAATCTTAAAAAAAAAAAAAACCCTCAAAAAAGATGCACAGCTCACTTCTCTATACAAAACATTTGGCCTATATGGCTTGCTATTATCTTTGCTTACTATTTTGCAATGCCCCTCCCATTTTTTTTCCTTCTCTCCACACCTTCTGCTGCTTTTTACTTCAGTGGAACAAAAACAAGTTCTAAAGACCAGAAGCAATGGGTTTCCATTTTATTCCATTCTCTACATTCTGTGTGACCTTCAACAAATAACTACCATGATTCCTCAAAATTGTTCTCCCTAATCTACAGAAGGAAGGTAAGACACCAACCTCTATGGGCTATTCAATGAAATGATGCTTGTGGAAACACCTGTTCTACAAATAATCATACTTGTTAGCATCCCCTCTGCCTGCTCACTTAGGTCAGATCTTCATTCTGAACGCTGAGAACTCCAACATCCTCACACTTCTGCTTTTTCCCTCTTCCCAACACATTCTACCGCACCTGTCATACAGATACCACCTGCAGTCATTTACTACTGTGTCAGCAAGTCTTAAATCTGAGCCTCATCATAAACAAAATGAGAAAACAGAGTGAATGTATCAAATGTACTCATTTTGAATATCTGCAAGGTGTTCAGATTCCTTGTAAATGCCTCCTCACCCCCAGGCCCTTCATACCACATACTTCTCCAGTTGTCTATTCAACCAGCTCCTTCAGCCCAATTTGAAGAATGGGATGTAGCCCATTCCCTTCCTGCAGGTCTCCTGCTTCCTCTTTTCTTGCCTGTAATGCCAGGGTGGTTTTTAAAACAAATGAGAATGGCACTCAAGAAGCAAAATGAATTCACTTAGCTCTGTGCTCCCTTCTCTCTTGCTGTTATTTATTTTTGTGTATTTCTCTAGAAGCAACATTTGTCAACATGGCAGCAGAGAAGCCGCAAGCCAGGGAGAACTGTTTTTGTATAAAACAAATAACTTAAGCAGTGCAGGAGTGGTTTTGAATAAAGCTGCCATATGAACGGCCGCAAAGTGCAAAATGGTGAGCCCTTGCGTTGGTTGCAGCAGCTGCTTCAACACCCAAGGAAACAAATACTTTGGGGGTGGGGGTGCTAAATTGGCTATGTACAGAGAAAGTCAAAGAATTATGATCGCCTGGTCTAACAAAAAAGTGGCATAGCCCACAGCTGCAATGAAGATAAGGAAGGGGGAGGCAGGCAGGGGCTGTTGTAAGAATTAGGTGAGGGGAAAGGATGGAGGAAAAGGACAATGACAGTCAAAGGATGGAGATTTTATTTTTAAGATGACAGAACTTTCTAAAATGTGGTGATGGCTGCACATATCTGTATATATACTAAAAGCCACTGAACTGTACATTTTAAGTGGCTGAATTGTATTGCATGTAAATAGCTCATAAAGATGTTTAAGGTAAGAGGAGCACTTAGTGGCTTCAGAGTTATGAACTGGTAAATGAGAAATGCACCCTGTGTCATCCTCACTGATCTTTAGAGGCCTGCAATCTACCAACCTAAATACATTACTATTAAGCACTGGCCTAGGTACATGAATATGCCATCACATTTAATCCCAACAACCAACCCCATCAATTTACAGGCAGGGAACCTGGGGCTCAGAGGTGTTTAAGGTGACCCCTACTTCTAGTCCAGTATCTGTCACCAAGGCCCATTCTCTTTCTACCTCACCCCATCCATGATCTCCCTAGTCATGCAATCATATCATTGACAAACAGGGTATTTATGCTTTCTCAGTGATTTTTTTTCCAAATAACTAAAACTTACCCCTAAGCAAATTGTTTCATTGAAACTCAACTTGACACAAGAGCTTTCTGATACATTCATTATTTTCCTCTATATTTAAAAAGATATCACAAACAAGTCTGTTCTTTTGATCACACAATTTTCTCTAAGAACTTGACTCACTCTACACAGTGTTGCCCTCAGGGACTCCCAGGATTGCCTGGGCTGCGTCTTTGGCCCAAGTGCCACAATTTTACTTTATTATCTATTATGTCTCTTCCCTCTGCAGTCAATGAGAGTTCCTTGTAATTTCCTATATAGCTTAGGAAAATAAAAATTATAAACTACATGGGTGGCTGGATAAGGCAGGAACCAACGGGAACCTCAGCTACTCTGGAAGCCATTGTCAATCAATGGCTTTTTAAATTTTATAACCAGGTTTTCAAAAGACAGGGTTGCCATGAATGACTGAAATTTTACAAAAAATAATGAGGATTAGAATTATTGCTGACTTTCATGTAATGCTTTAAACTGTTGCAAACCACCAGACTACACTAATTTTTTTTTAAATTAGAAATGTAGTCTTCCCACACACCTACCTTCCTACCTACTTCTTTCCTCTTATAGATGCCTATCTAGAAAAAGCTTTATCCTAACAGTGAGTGAACTTCCAGAGATAAGGAATCTAAAACCCTAAGCAGACAAGGCTGTTTCAAAAGGAAACATGATCTTTTCCTCCCAAGCTGAGATTTTGATAAGAATCCTGTCCACCAAAATTCAGTAACAAGTTTGACAGAGGGGAAAATCCATTCTTACAGAGAAATATAAAGAGAAATTCCACAAATACACCCTAAATCTTTTCAATTAGGAAGCAAAATAACTAACAATATTAAGTCTTCTATATTTAGTACAGAAACCCTATGAATTGTTTCATACCCATTTTAAAGATGGAAAAGTGGCCTGCCAGAGATCTAAACACTTACATGAACGTCATTTTCTCTCTTTGTGCGTGCACACACACACATTAAATGAGAGGGCTCCGATTTGAGCCTGAATTAGTGTGATCATCACTGCAGTACTCTAAGGCAGTGCACAAGGTGGTAAATCTCAGTCTTTAATGCCAGAGTGATCTGAATTTGAAATTCAACTTTTCTGCCCACTAGCTGCATAATCATGAGTAAGCCACACAGTAAATACCCATGTGTAAAACAGAATAATACTTTGCCGGTCATCGTAAGAAAAACATGATGGTGTTTATAATGCCCATTGTTCAGAGCTTACATTCAGCAAATTACTTGAGTTTTGTTTTTATCACTCACTTTATATTTATGCACCATATTTTAATAGCTAGCTTCACTGAGAATTTACCCTGTGCTACACACCATTCCGGGTGCTTAGAAACTGTCAAAGGTCACAACATCATGGAGCAGTTAGGGTTCAAACCCAAGCAGCATGGTTCAGAGTCACTATCTTATAAGGCAGGGGTGCTGAGAGTGAACTTTGCAGATAACAATATTGCCACTCAGTATTTTCAGGGAAGCTGGTTCCAGGATCCCCACAGATGCCAAGTATGGATGCATATAACTTATACTTATCCTCCCGTATAGTTTAAATCATCTCTGTACTACTTATAATACTGAATATAATGTAAATGCTATGTAATTAGTTCTTATACTTATTATTTAGGACATAGTAACAATAAAGTCTATGCAACCATCAACATAATACAGATTTTCAATTTGCAGCAGGTTGAATCTGTGGATGCAGAAACCACAGATCCAAAGGACTAAGTATCAGGTATGTTCACTAAAGCAATGATTCTCAAAGTGTGATCCTCAGAGTAGTAGCATTGGTACCACCTAGGAAAAGGAAAGTATAAAGAATGCAGATTCTTGGGTGCTTCCTGTAACCTCCTGAATCAGAGAGTCTGGGGATAGAGCCCAGCAATCTGTGTTTTAACACACCTGAAGGACTTGTTAAAACAGATGCTGGACTCCAGCAAAACGTATGCTTGTGCTTCTGCCATGGGCAAATAATCCAGAAGATGCTCAAATAAAAAAAAATGCCAATAACTGCAGATTCTTCTATGCAACTCTTGCTTTGTTGTAGCCACCAGCCCTCTGCAGTCAGCTCCTAAGGCCCACACTTGCAATGGTTCGAGTTGATGCCCCATCACCATCATTGGAAGATTTGTGTTTATACCCATTAACTCCACCGTGGTCACAGTCTGTAACCCTTCCCCTGCATGGTTCCTCACCTCACTTGATGCAAAAGCCAAAGTTCCCCCAGTATCTAAAAGGTTCTATATGATCCATGACCATCCCATCCCCCACAGTCTGCTATCAACCTCTTCCTGGATTCTTATCTCTCTGCTCCACTTCTACATCCTACTCTGCTCCAGCCACACTGACATCTATGCTGCTTCTCAAAAATGGTAAGAGGCACCCGTTTAGGACATTTGCACTTAGCGGTCTCTTCCTAGACTGACATTCTCTGAAAATTTACCTAGCTCATCTTCTTTCTTCTTCAAGTCTTTGCATAAATATCACTATAGAGAGTCCTTGTTTGACCTCCCACACCCTCATCCCAGCACACATTTATTCCCAGACTACACATTACTTTTCTCCATGGAATGTATCATCATAGATATAGAGAGAGAGATATACACTCAAACCAGATATTTACTTGCTTATTTGACTGTCATCCTGACAGGTGGTAAGTTTTGTGAGGGCAGAGACTATTCTGCTTTTTGCTGTGTCATCACAACCAAGAGCAGAGTCTGGTATCTATTAAGCATCCATAACTGTATGCTCAATAAATGAATAAATAGGAAAATCTGGTTAATCCTAAATGGCTACTCCATAGAGCCAAATGTACTAAAATGCTGATGCATAGACTATCATTGTTTTTGTCTTTTCATTACCAATAACACAATTGGGAAACACGACTTCTAAACTCATACCGAATATTCAAGATCCCATTTCTTTGGAAGAAATGCTGAAAATCTATGTACCATGCAAACTGCAAGATTACTTCTACTAAGCCCACACAAATATTACTTGCCCCCGAATGTAATTTCTAATTTACAGCTCCAAAAATATAATCTATATTGGAATTTGCATAAAACTCAACAGACCTGCAGCAAGATATTAAATTTTAAATTTGCATGCAAGAATGACCAAGTAATATTAGTCTAGTCAAGGAGATCATGTCTGTAAACTTGAGAGCTTGCAGATGTAATGAGAAGAAAAATTGTACACTTCAATGAAAGCAAGTTGATTAAAATGCTCTGATGCAGTTGTAATAGTGCAAGGGAGGCAAAGTGCATTTCAAATTTCATAACCTGGGCTCTGATAACATAAGATGAGATTCACTGCTCCAGAATAAGGCAATGGAACATAGTGACATCCTTTCCATCTGTAAATAGTACCAGGTAATAAAAGATAAATAGCCTAAGAGTTTGAATGTGCCTATTTGGCCCTAAGTTCCTTGAAGAGAGTTTGGATCAAGGAGATATGTTACCAACAGTGATTGACAGCAACAGCATCATGTTGATGTTAGTACATTCACCAGCTATACAGCCTAGTTTATGCATTGTATGTGTGTTTACTCTGTGTGCATGTGTTTGTGTGTGTGTGTGTGTGTGTGTGTGTGTGTGTGTGTGTGGAACAGAGTTAAGAATTTCTAGCTCTCTGGGAAAACTGAAATGCAACAGTGATTTGCATTTCAGAACACGTTCAAAGGACGTGTTCTGAAATAACTTAAGTGATTGAACAAATAAGAAGAGATGGTGAAGGACTAGGCCTCAGGAGGTCTAAGACTTTGCTCTCAAAAAGTAGACAAAGGCAAGACTATATTTTGCAGAGTATGGGTGTTCAACAAGACAAAAACCAAAAAGTGACTATTTGAACCAGTCTAGGGAATTTGTTAGTTAACACTGCTTTAAGACCTCCCTGGTGGCCTAGGGGTTAAGTCTCACCATTGTCACCACTAAAGTCTGAATTCAATCCCTGGCCAGGGAGCTAACCCACATATGGCACAGAAGACCTCTCCTGTCTGGCCTACTGCTCCCTTTAGCAGTGTATTTCAGTAAATCCATCTGTTCTGCTTCCCACTCTGTCTCTGATGAACCCTCTCACCTCCCTCACCTCTGGCCTATACCCCAGTTCTTTTACATGAAAGAAAAATTACTGCTTTAATCTAGTTTTTTAATGTAGATTCTGAGCAATATTTTAATTGAAGAAGAGTCCTAGTAAAAGTATAAAAAAAAAAAAAAATCACTCAGTGTGAAAATCTCCATTCTACTGGAATGGATCCTGAAGAGAAAAACATGAGGAATAATGCAGGTAGAGCACCTTTCTGGCTGTGTAACCTTATCACACAGCCTCAACCTCTCTAAGCACCTTATCATCAGTAAAAAAGTGTAAAGATATATGTCTCTTTAAGACCCAGTAACTCCACTCCTAGATATCTACTACAGATGAAAACATATATGCAAAGACTTATACATTATGTTCATAACATCTTTATTCATAATAGCCCCGAATTGAAACAATCCAAAGGTCTATCAAGAAGAGAATGGCCAGGGCCTCCCCAGTGGCGCAAGGGGTTAAATCACTATGAAGCTATCCACAGCAACTGCAGCTGCAGCACGAGTTCAATCCCCGGCCAAGGAGCTACCCATATGGCGCAGCAGATCTCTCCTGACTCACCTGCTGCTCCCCTCAGTAGTGTTATTTCATTACCTCTGCCTGTTCTGCTCCCCACTCTGTCTCTGTTGAATCCTCTCACCCCCACACCTCTGGCCTGTACCCCAGTTCTTGTATACATAAATAACTAAATCTTTAAAAAAGAAGAGAGTATCTAAACTCCATTCTTGAACATCCATACAGCAGAATACCACACAACAATAAAAAGACTCCCAATACACAACAATGTGTATGAACCTTAAAAAGACTGTGCTGAGTGCAAGAAACCAGATAGAATACTTTTTAAAAAAGAGGGCACTAACCTAGAGTAGCAGGAAACAGACCAGTGGTGGCCTGGGGCTAAGTATACGAGAACGGATTTACTGGAAAAGAAACAGGAATTTTTGCAATAGAAATGTTGTATATCTTGATTGTGGTAGTGATTACAGTTCATAGCTCACAGAACTGTATTCTTCAAATTGATACATTTTACCATACCTAAGAAAATAAAACTGAAAAAACACATGTCCTACCTAGTGCATAACAATGTCATTAAGGAACAAATTAGGTCAGTGTACATGAACGTTTAATACATATGCACTGGGGATTAAATAGGTAAAGGGCAAAGCCAGAGCAAACAACCCACATTTTTATTCCAAAAGTCAACAGTATGACACATAGGCAGACCTGGCTATTAATAATAACGATGACGAAAGCCAAAGTAGCGGGCACTTCCTTTGTGTCAGGGACTGACGATCTTCACACGTGTCAACTCATCTAATTCTCCTAGCAACCCTATGAGAAAGATACTATTATTTCTATATTATAGATGAGGAAACTGAGGCACTAGGAATTTAGTTGATCTTCACAACTGTCCTACAAATGGAAAGAAGAAAGTAACTTTCTACTTAGTCTTGTGTACTCAGCTAAACTATGCTTCAAGTGGACTATAAAATAAAGATACCCTACATACAGACACTCACTAAAGGAAATTTTAAAGGGTACAATTCAGAAAACAGAAAAGTGAAATCTGCAGGGAGGTCTGAGATCAAGAAGGAATTGTGAACACAGGAATGGCCAAACATAAGCAAATCTAAAATACTGCCTAATTTGTGTGTTTAGAAAGGGCAAAGCTAAAGTATTAAACTCAGCTGGGGGAGGTGAGCAGTCAGAGTTACAGAGTGATCACTTGCATTGTACAAGGGACTGAAGATATGGATTAACTTTAGACTTAAAGTTAAGCAGTTGCACATCAAGGGCAACTACTAAAAAATGCAAAGACAATCTATTTTTGAAACCAAATCACTGTTGGGGATAAGGATCTGGAGTGGAATAAAAAGGAACAAAGTGCTGCCAGAACATAAATCCAGGATGCCAAGTTCTCCAGCTCATTCATAAACACTATCACTGCGCCGTACAAGACTGGCAATCAGGGTGTCACGTGTGAGTCTTTAGGAACCAAGCCGATCACTCCTGCTTGTCATCTTTTCTCCAGCAAGTGTAGAATTAAGATTAAAATCCTCATTGGATCAACTTAATGAGAAATCACCAGCACCAGCCACAGTCCATATAATGTACTCATTTTGGCCTCTACAAAGGAAACCTTTCCAGGCAGGTTAAGTTTTAAAATAGTAACTAGAATCAGAATGTTTCATAGCTAGAACTATTCATCACCTTTCTTTATTTTAGCAGATAATTAATGATACCATGGAAAACTGCTCTCTCCTCACACCACAGGAGCAGTAACTTCAGACCCAGGCTACAAGGATCCTCTTCCATTGAAGACATTTTTTATTTAAGTATGTTTTTGTCAAGAATCTTTAATTGTGTTTCCCAATTGTCTCTTCCTTTCTTTCAATTGCCTAAAATTTCAACTGCAGTGCCTCAGAAGTAGATTAAATAAAGATAAGCTCTTGTCAATCAGAGCTGGCTTCTCTCCCCCGCCTCCTCTGGTTACTAGTTCCAAATGCTGCCAATCAAGAAAAATCCTGCACATCAGCTGTCATTCATTCCTGTCTAAATGATTCTGGTCAGACTTCATTAGGAACACTGTCCTGATCAAAAGCTTACAGCCAATCATGTCTACAGAACATGGAAGAAGCAGCTGGTCTTGTCTAGCTGGTGTCTGGCACACTTCCCATTCCTGGAGAATGCAAGCAGGGCCAGCCACACCTCCCCAGGGCCAATAAAAAGGCAGCTAGTCATGTCTCTGGCACATTTCAGGTTGCTGTAAACTGTGTCTTCTGCTGATTTTGCTCCCACCTCATTGGTTCACTGAAGGTAGTTTCAGACTTTATTAAGTCTTCCTAGCCATGAAGACAACTGGGAGTTCAGCAGTCCTCTTGTTCATTAGCTGGTTATGCCACTGAGGGATTGAAGCCAAGCTGTTTATTTGTTTCTGATTCTCCAAACAGCAGGTTCAACCCTCTCCCGAACCCCAGCATCACACACACCGCTACAGATACCACTTGACACACCACAACATGCACATTTTCTCAAAACAGAACACATCAAGGACATGCTGAATTAGAAATTTGATAGAAAAAACCACCGATATTCAATTCTTTCTGAAAGAGGGCTAAAGTGGTGTTATAACTTGTCAAAAGGATAGTGGCCAGTAAAAGACACACCATGGTCTGTGGGTTCTTCACCTGTACCCACAATTGCAAGACCACTCAGGCTCAGGGAACAACAATGAGGTTTATTTAACAAATGGGGGAAATAAGTAGTTCTCAAGGCCACAAGTGGCCAGACACCCGAGCTAGTGTCCTAAAGTCCTAAACTAAAGGCCGCTCATCTAAGATGGCACTGCCCTGTCAATGAGGGCCTGGAGCTCATGGCACACCAGCAAAGGCAGCAGGTCATCATCCAACTTACCAGAGCTGGAGGTACTCACAGGCGGGGCCACTGAGATAACACAGCAGCAGCCCAAAGCTGAAAGCCTGAAAGTCCCAATGGACAGCACCAGATGCCAGACCAGACAACAACGGAGGCAGCAGCACCAGGAGGCAGTGCCAGACGATTAACAGCTCTCAGAGGTGACCTGGACACAGCGTGCCAGCCACCCATCAACTGTACTGCAGCTCTTTGTGAGTTGTTGGCCCACACCAACAACAAACAGCTCTTTGAGACACCAGGTCTTTGGTGCTCCTTCCAGGTAGTGTCAGAGGCAGGCCAGAGGCAGATGCAGCCTGCCTGGCCTCTGCAAAGCTCTTACACTTCTCCACAAAGTTTTTCAGCTTGCTTCTTCCTTCAGAGGTCAGCTGCTGGATGTTGCTTCCTTCTCCTCTGGAGGTCAGGAGCAAAGACAGTAAGAGACTGAGAGTCTGAGCATCTTTCTTCTGAGGCCAGGAACCGAGAGTCAGAGTGTGCATCTGAGCATGCCAAGAAGAGTCTCAGAGAGTGTGGAGACCCAAGTTGGCTCCCGCTCTGCCTTTTAGCGTCTTTCAGGTCATCGCCCTCCACCCCCAAGTCTGACAACTGTTTTCAATCCAATGGCTCATCGAACCACTTATCAATCTGTTCATAGCTCACACCTAATCAGTCCATTCTATAATCCAGTCACCAAATCCATACGTCACTCTACTGCCTGCAGCTGGAGGGAGTCACAGTGCCGGAGCTAGCCCATGGGACCCCACTGCTCATCCCTGCAGCCCTGATCCAAGGGCTGCATGCCCTGGGAGGGCATGGTATGGGAATCATTGCAGTCCACCATCACTGCTGGCCTCTGCCTGCAGCCCTAGCCACAGTGGGGACACTGGTGGCGGGAAGTAACATACCCACCACCCACTGCCACTTGCACCACCCACAAACAGCTTCTAGGGCCAAGCACCTCAAAGGGGAGGGGGTCCAGTTTCATTAAAAATCAAAACATTTTCAACTATGTTGACAAAAGTATTGTTGTTAATGACATTTGCTTAAATGGAAGAGCTGGGGGAAAATTAAAAAATACAGTCTTTTAAATACTTAAAGAAATAGTAATATAGAAGCAGGACAGACTCTCACTTAGATAGTCTGGGTTGCTTTCTTTGTTTTGAACAAACTCTTTATTCTCCAGTTGGACGATCCTGTCTGTCCCAAGGTAAAGTGCAGAAAGCTGGAGGGGTGGGGGAAATAAAGATCTCAGAGCTGGTCCTATGGGGACTGAAGACTGAGGGCACATGGCTACATCCAGTCCATGGAACTGTTGCAGAGGACCAGGCCTGCTTGACAGGTTTGCCCAGCAAATGAGATCATTTCTGGAAGGCACCAGCATCACCTGCAGCCTCTCCAGTGCCATCAGTAGGCAAGGGGGCACAGCTGCAGTAACCACCAGAAGCACTGTCTCAGGTATGGACACTGCAAAGCCCAACAGTCCCTGCCACAGTCCCTGCCGCTCCTGACCTTCCTCTACTGGACTCGGACATTGCCACCCAAGTACAGCTGTCAGCACTTTGGACCACAGTGCACAGTGCACTGCAGCAGCTGTTAGTCCAGAAGCAACATGCCATGAGGCCAGGCTGTGATCACAGCCAAGTGGGCTGAGAGCAGTGGCACTCACATCACACCAGGTCTGTCTGCACCCCATCAGTACAGTGTGCAGCTTGCTGCCTACCTGGACATCTTGACTCTACCCTGTGACCCCAATGACAGCCAAGCCCAAAACCTCCGAGGCAGTGGATGGCACTCAAAGGTGAAAGGTAGAAATTTAATCCCCTGCCTGAACAGGGGCTATTGGGAGTATGGAGAGGAGCGGAGTGGCCATGAAAGCTTTAAAAGTCAGAGCCACAAACAGTGTTGGTTTGACCTTTGGTCCCTGAGTTCTGTTCTGCCTCTCTTCCCTCTTTGCCACATGTCTGGTGCTGGAGCCCTATCTGATCTGCTAACCAGCTGCTTCCACATCACTGTCCCACACACATCTCCTAGTCCTTATGATTAGTAGATTACCCCTTCTTCCTCCAAGTGTGCAGCCAGCTCCAAACTCTCACTAGAGAACCAGCTGCCATCCTCTACATGCAGCTGTGCTCCCACGTGCCCTCTACACCTCTGCTCAGTAGACAACTACCATCTCCCATGCCCAACTTTTGGCTTGGGCTCTGCAACACAAACACTATCTGTGGTAGGACATATTGCGTGGGACACGTCCAGCCTCAAGATCTCCTCTCTTCTCCCTTTTCCCATTCCCTATAAGTGAACCCTGTTACTACTATTTCTCCTGATCGATCTGTTTTTGAGTCATGTCCTGCAGTCTTGAGGACTATCAACCAGGTCACCCTCTTCTCCCTCCTCAGTCTGCTTGGTTTCAATGCCAGTCGATCTGAAATCCACACGAGGAACCTGGCTGTGTCAACATGCAGATGTGAAATGACTCAGAGGTGGGCTATTCATACCAAAAAGGTATTTGTCTGGGTTCAGAGTATATCAAAAGTTCAGTTACTGGTAAAGAAATAGTTTTTTAAATGTATGATTTTATCCTAATTAAAACTAATGGAGAAGAGAATTTGTATTTAACTGCCTAGTAAACAGTTCTCTGTTATTTCACTTTTAATATCTGAAGGATATTTACAAGGTTATCAAGGTTGGGGGGTGAATTAGTGGATCGCTGTCCCACCCACATCTCCCTTGCCCCCCAAATCAAAAAGCTTCATTTTACATTATATCCTTTTCACTTTTTTCACTTAGTATTTTTTTTTTTAACAAACAGTAAGACCCACCTAACCCCACAGGTCAGAACCTAATAAAACTTCGCAACTTAGAAAACTTAACAGTCCAGCACACCTAACAAAACTCAGCCAGGGACACCAGAAAGCATCTTGCACGCACATTAATAACTGTAGGATATCTGATTAGGAGAATGCGAAATAAGAAGCCATTAATAGCAGCCCTCATCTCTCTCCTTCACACTGATTACCAAAAGAACAGCAGCAGCTGAATCACAGCTAAATCCTATTCACAAGGGACCTGGGGCAACAAAGAGGAAAAAACCGTTAGAGTAGTGCTTCTCCAGGGAAGCTGCTTTAAGTCATTTTATTCTGGCGTCAATCCTGCCGCCCCAAACCAATACACATGCATAAGGCAAGCAAAGACTGGATTCCGTTCCTTCCTCTCCCTCCCCACTGCTCCCTGGCTTCAGCATAGTGTACTCAGCACACTTAATTGCCCTGCCAACCAAATTGCTGCTTGCAAGGCCTCCAGAGGAACTCGGAGCATCTAGAGACACACAGACTTAAGTGTTTACCGAAGAGCACAAACATCAGCCAGGAGATGGAACCACAGGCCTGGGAAGAGCCTAAGAGTAGACTAACCACATGACTTTGAACACAGGTTTTTGTCTCCCTGTGCCTCAGTTTCTTTATCTGTAGAACACTTGTCCCCAAGCGTTATTCTGGGAACCTAGTGAATTAATTCACTTGAAGCACTAGCAAAGGTACCTAACAGAGTAAATGTGCTTGCTCTCTCACTCTCTTCCTGTCCCTCCTTTTAACCCTCCCTCCATCCCTCTTTCTGATACAGAGCAAACAGCAGGAGGAAGAAGGAAATGAAAAGGGAGGGGGTGAGAAAGGAGAGAGAAAAGAAGAAAAATAAACTGGATCTATGAATGTGTCTTAGTTATACAGATAAAGAACCTAATAGCCAAACACCACCACCCCCACAGCCCCTGCAAGGAACTTTACCCCTCCCAAATTTGTACGTCTCTCCCTTTCAAAGGCACAATGTCCCCTCATAGGTTTAGTTGATAGTGGGGAAACCAGAAACAGGCTTCCCCTTTGTTACAAGCTTCTATAAACCCCATATTTGGGGATTGGTGAGGGATCTGTCCAATCCCAAACTTACTGCAAGTCAAAATAAATTTTCTGGCAGAGCACTAATATTTCCAATTTGATTTGGCAGAATAAACTCAGTTAGGATGTTCTCACAATGTAATTAGTGATCTTTGTCAATGAGCAATTTAGCTATCGATAATACCTGTTGAAATTTAATTTTAAATGTCAATGACTTGTTTGGGTTCACTGCAATAGGCTTTTATATATGACAAAGAAGCAACCTTTTTGGAGGGAAGGAACAAGAGGATGGATGATGAAAACAAGAGGCGAAGAAAATCAACAGGCATATATAAAGGGCTGCCTTTCAAACACCCCACAAGGACTGTGCCATGAGCAGCACGCTGCTTCTCCCAGGAGCTTTCTGGGGATTCAAAGAATGTGTAACTCTCACCCAATTTGTCAACTGAGACCCACTGTTCCTAATGGGATGTGGGTATGAGAAGCAGGCCAGGTTTAGGGAGTAGGTGGTCTTGAACAAGTTAGATGAGCTTGAGCAAATTGTTTCAACATCTCTTTGCCTTAATTCCTCATTTATAAAATTAGAATAATTATGAGAATTACATAAGCAAACATTTACAAGCAGTCAGTACAGTGTTTGGTACCTTAATAATAATAGATGTTAGCCTGTTGTTACTGAACCCAGTCAAATGGCTGGTATTATTCAAATAAAAGTTAAAAGACAAACTTTACACATCCTAGCAGGGTGTTACAAATTCTAATACCTATAGTTTATGACCTTAAATAGTAAAGAAAACACCTGGCCCTTCTCTAGAGCACACCTCTCTTGGTGGAGCAAGGCCTGGTGCTGCCAGATATTCTGATTTTCTAATAATAACCCCAAATTTCCATTTTTGTGTGAAACTTCCTGGTTTTAAATGTTGGCAAATGCTTCCAAAAATTTTTAAACACAAAATTAACCATTCCCATATAGGTAAAGCTTTATTAGATAACAAGCAACAGAAGGGTCCACAGTCTGGAGTGTTCTCCAAATCACAGGACAAGTAGCTGGGCCTGCGGCAGGTGCTTCCTTGCTGACTTATGGCCTGCTCACTGAGAAGGGAAGTGGATGATTTATGAGCTGCAAAGGTGATGCAAAATGCTAATCAGCTTTAAGCTGACACTGGATAACACAAGCAAATTTACATCTTCTCTAAAATAATTCAAATGCTTTTCATGCATAATAGCAGGCAAGGATAAAGATGAAGTGATAACATTTCAGAGGCTTCACAAAATATCTCAATTAATCTAGGTCATAAACCTACAACAAATTCTCACTTCCCTGAGAGAGCAGTAACATACCACAACAACTGAAAGTCACAGGAAATATCTAAGTCAAATCATCAGCCAACTGGTTTCCCAATTCCTGTACCTAGGGAATTTCACTGTTCCTGATATGACTTCAGTTTACCACATTATTTTTGGTCTCTTTATTCCCCTCTGCCATATATGGAGTGAGAAAGAAGAGGTAAGTGCCAAGGAGTAAATAAAGATTGAAGACCGGTGAGAGGAAGGCATAAGGACCAGATGAACATAGTTACATGAGAAATTTCCAGGACAACAGGAAAAAAAAACGGGGGAGTCCACAAAAATTCCATTTAGACAATCCTACCTTTTTCAATGAATACATGTACTCAGCAAATATTTACTACCAATGCCAGGTGCTGTTCTCATGCTGAAAATGCACCACTAAAGAAAACAAAGTCAATGCACTCACAGAGCTTACAGAGGTACCATATGACGCAGCAATCCCTCTTCCTAAGTATTTATCTGAAAATAAAAAAAACACTAAATAGAAGGAATACATGTGCTCCTATGTTCATTGCAGCACTACTTAAAATAGCCAAGCGATGGAAACAACTTAAGTGCCCAATGACAGATAAATGGATGAAGAGCATGTGGTATATATACACAATGAATTTTTTAAAAAAGGCAAAATTTTGGCATTTGAAACAACATAGAATGTAACTGGAAGGGATTTTGCTAATCAAAGTCAGTCAGGAGGAGAAAGACAAATACCACACCATTTCATTCATATGTGAAATATAAAAAACAAAGCAAAACAAACCTTTGAAATTTAACTAAAGGACTGAGGGTGCCAGAGGGGAGGATGGGAGGGTAGGAGGAAAGGCAGAAGGGGCCCTGTAGGGCCAGGAAGGACACAGGGCAGGTTTTCTGATCCAGCAGACCGGGTAAAGGAGGGGTCGTGGAGCCCTCCGCAGCTTTTGCAGGTTTTTTATTTAGATTTACCAGGCATATGGCAAGCAGGGGTGCTGGGGGGCCAGGAGGCTGGCAGGCCTCCCAGCCCCCAGCAAATTCTCACCGTCTCTGGGCTCTGTGGCGTTCTCTCTGCTTCTCTTCTTCTGCTCGTTCGTGGCTTCTGTTGGCATCCCTGTGACATCGCCCTTAAAAGCCCAGTCTTAGCCCAGGCGAATCCCATCTACATATGCCCACACCCTACTCCAGGTGCCCGCCATCAGGCATGCATTCAGGACCACAGGGTTCCGTCATCCATCCTAATGGCGGGAGGGCAGAAAAGCCTGATACCTTTTAACTTACCCTATAGGCCCAATGGACTATAGTGGAAGATTGCTGGGGCTAACACACATTTGTAGAAGTATGAACATGTACCCCTAAAACCCATGCCAGCCCCACTAATCAGAATGTCTTGGGGAAAATACCTAGAAATCTCTCTTTTTAATAAATATCCCCATGGTTCGTATTTATTACATAATTACTTCATCATAAAAATGTCTATAAAATCAATAGACTGGAATACAGGAAAGTAACACCTGTAGCTTTAATAAGAGGAAGATTTTTATCACTTGCTCCTTCTCATTTGATCAGCTGGTTTCCACTTCACCTTGAACCCAAGGTTCAATTCTCACTGCCCCAAGTCCCACTTAATCAAAGTAGAATCTGGTTAATACATCAGTTTCACTTTATCCACCGAGTACATTCCAAGGTCCCCAGTATGCCTGAAACCACAGCTAGTACCATATATATATATATATATATATATATATATATACACGCTATGTTTTTTTTTCTATACAAATACACCTGTGATAGATTAATTCATAAATTAGGTACAATAAGAGATTAACAACAATAACTGTAGGGCCTCCCTGGTGGCACAAGGGGTTAAGCACCGCACTATGAAGCCAACTGCAGCCTCTGCAGCATGAGTTCCATCCCCAGACAGACAGGGAGCAGCCCACGTGGCGAAGCAGACCTCTCCTGTCTCGCCAGCCACCCCCCACAGCAGTGTGTTTCAGTCAGTCTGCCTGTTCTGTTCCCCACTCTGTCTCTGGTGAATCCTCTCACCCACCGTGTCTATGGCCTGTACCCCAGCTCTTGTATGCATAAATAAATAAATCTTTTTTTAAAAAAACTACAGTAACTGTAATAAAATAGATCAATAGCAATATACTATAATGAAATTCATGTGAATGTGGTCTCTCAAAATATTTTATGAAACATTTTTAGACCAAGATTGACCCAGAGTAATTGAAACTGTAGATAAAGCAGCACTATGGCATAGTATACTGGATATTCCTCATTGAAACTAGGCAACAAAAATTCATGTGTCAACGATTGAGAAGACCTCAATCACAAAGACTATCTGTAGCATAGTATAAATCCACGAATCCTGAGTTAATGGTACTAAGTGAGCATATAGAGGTAGATTCTATGGAGACTAAAAAAAGGGGGCAGGGAGAATAGTTTCTAACTTGCACTTGAGAAAGCAGTTAAGAACCTACCATTATGGGGACTCCAATATGTAAGTACTTAAGGCATTACAGGACAAAAAAAACATCAAAATATCTACCTTGGTAATAGTTTAATATGTAATTCCAGATTTCTCCAGTAATGATTTATAATAGTATTCCCACTACCTGGACCATCATGATGTCCCTCATCTCCACTGAGAAAACAGAACATTATCTATTTACTATGAAGCAGCTTTATTTATTTATTTATTTATTTATTTATTTGTTTGTTTGTTTGTTTATACACACACACAAACACACACACACACAAGTCCACAAGCGCCAAAAGAGAAAAACTTTTTCTTTACCTACAGACATTTATAAAAAAGAGCACTAAAGAGGTATAGAGAATTATTATTGGCACTTGAATCTACAACATCAGGAAAATGGCAGCCCTTCAAATTCTACACTGGAAGAGCTCTTCATTTTAAGCTGAGAATGGGAAATTAATTTTCAAGTCTCTTGTCTAAGAGACAGCTTTTAAAAAGGTATTAACCTACATTTGGAGATTAATGCAAACACAGCCATCTTGTTTTAGTGGGTACAATCCAACTTTTATTAAGACAAAGACGGATTCAGAGTAATTAAGAGCTTGTCCAATATCCAGAATTTTATGACTCTAAATATTAGCGAAGCTGGCATTCTTACCAGCTTCGCCTCAGAGCTATTGCATTATAAATCCTCGGTGGTAATGAAACACCAGCTAAAAAAGAGAGGTTGAATAAGTCTCATTTAAAAACCAGCCTTCCCGTAGAGAACTACTGTGATTTTAATATAACATATAGCCCCTCTTAGAACATTAATACTATTGAAAAAAGGTGAGTGGTTTGGGATTTGCTACTAAGGAACCCCAAAGAAGATAAACAAACCACAGAACGTGTATATTTTAAACGCTGACTGTTAAGAGACTCACTGGTGCCAAAGTTTAGGAACACCTTGCTGATTCGGACAGGAGAAGGATAAAACACCCACACTGGGAATCCCCACCTTCAACCTT